TTAGACCCTAAACCCTAGAAGGCTGAGGGCTTAGACCCTAAACCCTCGAAGGCTAAGGGCCTTCAAGGGTTAGACCCTCGAAGCCTGAGGGTTTAGAGACCTTAAGCCCTAACCTTGGCAGATTACTGGAGTCATCCGGTCCTGCCAAGCCACAGGGAGGCAAGAAAAGCACAAAAAGGAAAGAAGCACAAAGGAGCCAGGGAGGATTTGAACCCAGGACCTTTGCGCATCAGGAATCTGAAGGACCCAGCGGGGACCACTAGGCTACAAGGACCCTTATCAGAGAGAAGGCTTTGAGAACAAAAAGAAAGAAAACACAGAGGGCTTGGCAGAGACCCTGGAGGGATTACAGTGGTATTAGACCCTAAGTATACATATGATATAATAGGTTTAGGGTTTAGGGTTTAGGGCGTGTATGGTCAAGCGCGCGCGTGCGTTATCGGGGGGGCTATCCAACCTGCTTTCACGCCCCCCCTCACCAATTACGCGCGCGCACGCGTTCGCGGACAACTCCCACCCCCGCTGGCGCTCCACCCAATCTGCAACCTTTAGCGGGTTTAGGGTTCTTTGAACCCTCAGGCCTGGCCCAACAACCTCGCTCTTTCAAGTATCGACCCATCTGGATACGGAGATGCGGAGTGGCGACGTGGCGACGACTGACGGCGGAGGGGCGGCGCGAGCGAGAGTGAGCGAGCGAAGCGCGGGCCATCCGCCCGTCGCGAGCGCGAAAGTATCCGGTTTGGGCTTAGGACTCAGGGCCAGGTTGGCAACGGCCAGTCCGCGGCGGATTATCCACGGTTTCGCAAAATTCCCGTGTTTGGGCGCGGTCTGCGGGAAGACCGGGTAATCAATAAGGACAGCCCGGGAGGCGCCCGGGAGGCGGCAAGGAACCACCCGGACAGCATAGGCCTGCATGCAGGAAAACTATACGAAAGCGAACCACCGGTGGACGAATACGGTCGACGCGGGCGAGGCACGCTCGCTTTGTCTCGTGGTGCGGACGTGGGGTTTAGAGCTGTCTATCGAAACGAAGGCCATAGAGGCGGCCCGAAGAGCTGGAAAAAAAATAGCAACGGGCCGGCCGCGGCGGCTCCATTGAAATTTGCTTAGCGGAGGGTAAACCCGCGGCGCTAAGGCAACATTGTCTACGGGAACCCGTGTCGCGGGAGCCCTTTGGACAGCCCGGGAGGCTCCATGGAACCATTTGAACAGCCCGGGGCGCTCCAGGGAACCATTTGGACAGCCTGGGAGGCTACAGAAAAGCATGTGGACAGCCCAGCAGCGGCCAGATACCTGTATGGACAGCCTGGGAGGCTGCAGGGGGCCCGGAGCTCTGGGGGACCCCTTAGACAGCCCGGGAGGCTCCAGGGGACCGGTTGCGATAGCCTGGGAGGCACCAGGGAGGCAGGAAAGGACTGAGGCACCAGGGAGGCAGGAAAGGACCATTTGGACAGCCAGGGAGGCAGCAGGGAGGCAAGAAGGACAGCCTGGGAGGCACCAGGGAGGCAGGAAAGGACTAATTGGACAGTCTGCAAGGCACCAGGGAGGCAGAAAAGGATTAATTGCACAGCCTGCAAGGCACCGGGGAGGCAGGAAATGACCAATTGGACAACCTGGGAGGCACCAGGGAGGCACCAGGGAAGCAGGAAAGGACCAATTGGACAGCTTGGGAGGCACCAGGGAGGCAGGAAAGAACTAATTGGACAGCCTGCGAGGCACCAGGGAGGCACCCGGGAGGCAGGAAAGGACCATTTGGAAAGCCTGAGAGGCAGCGGGGGGCAGGAAAGGACCATTTGGATAGCCTGAGAGGCACCAGGGAGGCAGGAAAGGACTTATTGGACTGCTTGCGGACAGCCTGGGAGGCACCAGGGAGACACCAGAAAGGCAGGAAAGGACAAATTGGACAGCTTGGGAGGCACCAGGGAGGCAGGAAAGGACCATTTGGACAGCAGGAAGGCAACAGGGGACAGCCCGGGAGGCTCCAGGCCTCGGACTAATTGACCAGCCTGCGAGGCACCAGGGAGGCACCAGGGAGGCAGGAAAGGACCATTTGGACAGCCTGGGAGGCACCAGGGAGGCAGCAGGGAGGCAGGAAAGGACCATTTGGACAGTGGGAGGCATCAGGGAGGCAGGAAAGGACTAATTGGACAGCCTGCAAGGCACCAGGGAAGCAGGAAAGGACCAATTGGACAGCCTGGTACTACGAGGTTGCGACGCTCCGTTTGCATAGGATCCTGAGGTTTAGGGTCATCCTTCTATAGAGGTCAAGCGCACTGACGTGCGCGCGTGCTGAGCGCACGGGTGCCTTCGCTGCACTCGACCGCTTGCTCCGGCACCGCCTTGCCCTGGATCGGGGCTGCGGCACGCTCGGGCGCCCGTTCCGGGAAGGCGCCCTCGCTTCAGTTTAGGGTTTTAGGGTTTTAGGGTTTTAGGGTTTAGGGTTTAGGGTTTGCAATGGAGAGGCGCGCGTGAACTTTTCACGGGGGGCTCTCCAAACTCCCTTCACGCCCCCCTCACCATTCACACGCGCGCCCGCACAGCTAATGGACCCACCCCAGCCGCCCAAACTATTCCCTTTTCGGGTTTAGGGTTTTTTCTTGGAAAAACCCTCGTCGGCCCGGCCCGGCGCCTTACCCCAAAGGCACAAAAAATTTGGTGGGTGTATTTTAGATTTCTCTGGTGTCCGCTGTGGTGGTGAATAGGGCGTCGACAGAGGACGCGGCAAAAGTAGAGCACGATAACCCCAGAACGAGGTAATTTCGAGGGGCCCGTCCCGGAGGGCGACAAAACTATAGGTATCTTTGCGCGCACGTTTCGTGGCGGAACCGTCGGCAACCATGGATTGCACGCCAAGATACGCGGAGAGGCGCGCTGCAGAAGCTGCGCTGCGCGGCGGCGGACGTCGGTGGAGCGCGTGGAGACGCCACGCCGAACGAAGCTCGAGCCAAAGAGCCTGCGGACACACACCGGCACGGCCACCGAGAAACACAGACGCAATCCGCAACCGCTGTGTGTTTCAGCATACGCAAGAATGCGCTCGCTCGTTGAACATGTTCATCTCGGCAACCGTGAACTCGAGGCGCAGATCGACGGACCGTGCCGCTCGCAACCTGAGCGCTTTTTCGTCTGGCTGTGTCGTTGCGGCACCGTGGTGAACCCTATATCGATAGGGACCCCGACTTCAACATTCCCGCAGCGGCCTTGAAATTTGAAAACATCGCGCGGGGAACCGGGACCCTAGATTGCACAAGCCTTGTCGTTGCACCGCTATGTGAAACCTATAGCCCCGCTCAGTGCGCCGGGATGAAGTGGCCAGTGCCGACGACGCCCGCAATCAAGTAGTCCTCGTCGCGGCGCACCCGCGAGAGCGCCACGTAGGCGGCGGCCCTGCACCCAGGCACGTCCAGCCAAAGGGTTATATGCTCCAGGGTCATGCCCTGCACCTTCGGCACCGTGCACGCATACCCAAGCCGGACGGGGTAGCAGGTCACCCGGCGGCCATCGTCCAGCTCGTGCGTCACCAAATGGACGGCCAGACGTTTCCCGGTGCGGGTGGTGACTTCCATGCAGCGGCTCTGCGGGTCGAACGCCTCGATCGTGGCGGCCATGCCGTTGACGAAGTCGTCCTCTTTGGACAAGTTCTTGGTGAGGAAGACTTTCATGCCGGCGTAAATGTGAAGCTTTGCTGGCAAGAGCGGCCCCTCCTTCAAGGTCCCTCCGGCCGCAAAGTTCTCTTGGTTCGACTCGAAGTCGAGCGGCACTTCCGCCAAGGGGTGCTTGTGACGATCTTCGAAGAAGAGCTTGCCGGCGAGCTCGTTGATGTAGGCACTGGCTCGCCGAGTGCAAGTGACCACCGTTGTGTTCTCGTGCTTCCGGAAGATTTCCAAGACGTCCCACCCGTCCGGCGAAGTGGTCTTCCAGGCACGGTGGCCGCGAAGGATCGTGCTTCCGGCTGGGCGTCCGGAGGCCGCCGGCGGCCAGTTTTAGTAAAGAACGTAATCGTCGTAGATTTTCTCCGGCCGGTCTCCGGTCCAGTCTCCGGTCGGTCTCCGGTCCGGGTCTCCGGTCCTCTCCGGTTCTCCGGCCCGGGTGCCGGAGAATTTCTCCGGTCGGTCTCCGGTCCAGTCTCCGGCCGGTCTCCGGTCCTCCGGTCCCAGGCGCGGGCGGGACCGGAGACCCGTTTTCTCCGGCCCCGGGCGCGGGCAGGACCGGA